GCAGAATGTTCAACACTGGTTCTCTGTTTGGCTTTCTGAAGCCCAATAGTTTTCGTTGTTTCAAAATGGTGCCCCCCGCAGCGTGGGCCTTATTTTCGAATCCGTCGTTCAGAATGGCGGCCTCGCCCCAGCGCGGGCCACCTTTCGGGATCCGAGTCCTTTTCATCGTTGTCGCCCCAGTTCCTTCCTCCCGCTCCTTCCACTCCAGCTCCTGCTGATGCTGTTCATCCTCGTCCTCATCCTTCCTCCTCCTCCTCCTCCTCTTCCTCCTCCTCCTTCTCCTCCTCTTTTTCCTCCTGCTGATCCTCCTGCTCATCTGCTGATCCGCCACCTCCTCCTCCAACGTACGCAGCTTCCCTCTTTTCCGAGTGCGCATAACACGACGGCGTCCTCTTTGGAGTCCCATGTCCGCCATGACCCGCGTCAACGGGACTGGATGGGTGGGAGGGGCAGGACACCAGATGCTGCACGAGCGCACCTACGGTCGGGAAGTTTGGGTTAGCGTGTCGCCCCGCCGGCTCTGGCCCACCAAGCTTCAGCGCGACACGGTTCGGCGCGGCGCGCTAGTCCTTTTCCTCCCAGTCCTCCAGCATCGAGGTCCCGAGCGTTTATCGACCCCCCCGCCCGCGAGCGGAGCGGCACGCTATCCGCTCGCAAGGTATGGCGTGTCGCCGGGGCCGCCGCCGCGACACGGTATCCAGAGGTTCCTGACCGTGGCGTGTCCCTCCCCCCTTTCCTCCCTCTCCTCCCTGCCCCTCCTCCCTGCCCCTCCTTCCCTCTCCTCCCTGCCCCTCCTTCCCTCTCCTCCCTGCCTCTCCTCCCTGCCTCTCCGTTCCCTCCTTCCCTCTCCTCCCTGCCCCTCCTCTCTTCGACGAGACGTAAGAGTGACTTTTCGCCGGAGTGACCTTTGGTGCGGGTCCAATGGGGTCCCCCGCTCGCCGAACGCGATGCGGTAGCAGCGTCTTGCGCGCTCGTGTTTGGTCCCCCCGCGGCCCCCCAAAAGCCGAACACCAAAGGCCACTCCTACCCAGGGTCACCCTTGCGTGTAGTCGATCTCTCCTGGAGGCCACTGGAGGGCCGTCCCGAGCCCGAGCTCCCGATTCCTGCGCCTTCGGCCTTGCTCGTGCCCGTGGCGACGGTCGGGGCCTGGACCGCCGTCACCGTGCTCTCTCTGGGGGCCATGGCCCACAAGACCGTGTCGGGCATCGAGGCTCGGCGGCGCGCCGAGGGAAGGACCCGGATCTCCTCCTCCTCCTCCTCCTCCTCCTCCTCCTCCTCCTCCTCCTCCTCCTCCTCCCCGCTCCTCCTCCTCCCCGCTCCTCCTCCTCCTCCTCCTCCTCCCTCCTCCTCCTCCTCCTCCTCCTCCTCCTCCTCCTCCTCCTCCTCCTCCTCCTCCTCCTCCTCCTCCTCCTCCTCCTCCTCCTCCTCCTCCTCCTCCTCCTCCTCCTCCTCCTCCTCCTTCTCCTCCTCCTCCTCCTCCTCCTCCTCCTCCTCCTCCTCCCTCCTCCTCCTCCTCCTCCTCCCCCCTCCTCCTTCCCGCTCCTCCTCCTCCTCCTCCTTCTCCTTCCTCTTCTTCCTCCTCCCTCCTCCTCCTCCCCGCTCCTCCTCCTCCTCCTCCTCCTCCTCCTCCTCCTCCTCCTCCTCCTCCGACGACGACGACGACGACGACGACGACGACGACGAAGACGACGTGTTTTTCTCAAGCGGCGGAAGTCTGGGAAGTGAGAGGGGGCAGGCCCTCGCAGGCGGCAGCGGGGCTCCTCAGGCGCCCTGCGGCCTGCTGGGATGCCGCGCCTGTCTTCGGAGAAGGCTCCTGGAACCTCTCGGGTGTTGCTGGAGGTGCCCCTGGCCTGGGGTGCCCCCAGGATTTCCAAGGAGGCCCTCACGGCCTCCAGAGCACCTGCCACGAGGCCCAGAGGGCCCCAGGGGCGCCAAACTTGGGCGAAAAAGCTGGGGGCAGCTCGGGCCAGGGGCACCTTCAGCAACCCCCGAACCTCTGCGGAGGCCAGAGGCCTTCGGAGCCTGATGGGAAGGCCCGCCCTTCTGCCTTCCCCCCTTGGGCGCGCCACCGAGAGGCCGTCGTGGTGAGCATGCTCCAGCCGCTGGCGCCCATCTTCGAGTGGGCAGGCAGGGGACCTCCCCCCTCCCCCTCCTCGGAGGAGCAGCGAGTACCGATGCCGATGCCCCTCCCCCGTCGCCACGGCTGGATTCGCCTCGACATCCTCGCCCGAGCGCGCACCAGGAGAGGTCAGAGGGGAACAGTTGCCTCGGTACCTGCAGTTTCCCCCCCCCCCCCCCCGCCCTTGCGTGGCCGCCCTCGGCCACGCCCCCGCGCGGGGCCTCTGCGTAGGCCAAGCGGCCTGCTGCGCGCCGCCTGCCTTCTGCCGCTGCGTTCTCACGCTCTCTCTCTCTCTCGCTCTCTCTCTCTCTCTCTCTCGCTCTCTCTCTCTCTCTCGCCCTCTCTCTCTCGCTCTCTCGCTCTCTCTCTCTCTCTCTCTCTCCTCTCTCGCTCTCTCTCTCTCTCTCTCTCCTCGCTCTCTCTCTCTCTCGCTCTCTCTCTCTCTCTCTCTCTCCTCCTCGGTTCCTGGGTCCCCGTCGTCGTCGTGTCGGTCGTCTCCCGCCTCGCAGCAATCGAGTCCGAGACGCTTCGCGTAACCCCACCAGTTCATCCAGAGATGACGCCCGAAGGATTTGCCTCGATCAGTGAAGTGGGCAGCACGCAGATGAAGGGCCCCTCTTGGAGCGCTCTTGGGACACCCTTGGGCGCTCTTGGGGCCGTCTTGGGGCTCTCTTGAGCGTTTCTTGCGTCTTTGCATCTTGGGGTCCTCTTGACGGTCCCGGGGGCCTCTTGGAGCGTCTCGAGGTGCCTCTTGGGGCATCTTGGGAGTCTCTTGGGGCCCTCTTGAAGGCCTCTTGGGCGCCTCTTGGGGCCTCCTGGGCGCCTCTTGGGGCCCTCGTGAGGCGCTCGCGGGAGCCTTGGGAGCGCTCTTGGGGCCATCTTGGAGGACATCGATCAAACAAGAGGGGAGAATCAATTAGCGCTGCCCCTCGGGAGCCAGAAACGTCGCCTCTGGGGGCGCTCTTGCGCGCTCTTGGGGCCGTTCTGAGGCTCTCTTAAGCCTCTCTTGGACCCTCTTGGAGCCATCTTGAGGCCTCGGATGGTCATGGGAAGCGAAAAGGCGAGGCAGCAACAAACATTGATTACCCCAGGGGGGTGCAAGGATTTTGCCCTCTTCGGGGCCCGTTGGCCACTTGGCGCCGTCTTGGAGCGGTCTCGGGGCCTCTTGGAGCATCTTGCGAGCCATCTTGAGGCAGATTGGGATATCTCGAGCCATCTTGGAGGTCATATTGGGCTCTCCCAGGAGCTCTTGGGGCCGTCTTAATCAGTGTCGCCCCCCAGGAGGCCCAAATGAGGGCCAACCGCCATAGTAAAATCAATGAGCTTGGCAGCATTCTCTCCGAGGCCTCTTGGGGTTTCTTGGGTGCCTCTGGGTGGCCTCTTGGGGCCTCTTGGGGGTCTCTTGCGAACCTCTTGGGGGCATCCTGGGGGCCTCTTGGGGGCCTCTTGGGGCCTCCTGGGCACCTCTTAAGGCTTTCTTGAAGCGCCCTTGGGAGCCTGGGGGACCATCTTTGGGCCATCTTGGAGGACATCGACCAAGCAAGAGGGGAGCTTTAATTTGTGGTGCCCCCCCCAAGAGGCCAAAATGGGGCCAAAACCTTTTGGACAAATCAATGATTTTGGCTTCCTCGCCGAGGCTATTTTGGACGCTCGGGCACTTCGCGACCGGCCCCGTCCAGGTCCAGGGGAGGGAGTAGGGGGAGGGCTCAAGCTACCTACCCGCCCGCAAGCCGTCTAGCTAACTCCCACCCGCCCTCCCAACACATAAGTATTACCCGAGCCTGAGCATGTTCAGCGCTCGTCTTTGGATGGACAGCTACTGGGGACCAAAGCCGACCCCAGGAGCGCGACGCGTGGGCGAGGTGCGCCAGGGGCGCCACTCGCGACAGGCACCCCTGGGGCCCGAGCGTGCCAGGCACGCCTGGTGCGCCAGATGCGCCATGTGCTCCGAGTGCGCCAGGTGTGCCGCACACTCCAGCCGCGTCAGGTGCGCCACGTTCGGGGCACGTGCAGAATGCGTCAGGTGCGCCTGCGCACGGGACAGCACACATCGGGAAACATGTCGGCCCCCGCCATCCGTATCGAAAGCCAATGCCCATCATTGTGTCTGGTGGTCCTGCGCACAGCAGGCCACGCGTCACCACCCCCGCCGTCACTGTCAAACACCATTTCACAGGGATCGCGGGATGGCCGCGCGCATTCCAGATTTGGCCGCATGATGCATGCTGTATGGTTTTTGTCAGGGATGGTAGCCCTGCGCGCAGCAGGGAATATGCTGACACCCCCGCCGCCCGTGTCAAAGAACAATACAAAGTGCTCGTGGGCCTCACGACCATGACTCAAGACTTTGTCCTAAAGTGTACTTTGCATTGCTTTTTTGAGAGGGATGGTGGGGGGGGCGCATCGGGTTGGCCGCGCATGCTCCAAGTGCAGGAAGAGTTCGGTTCATATTGTTTTGTTGACAGGGATGGTGGGGGGCGGGCCCTATGGAGTCGGCATGGTTCCGGGTTGGCCGCTGGCCGGGTGGGGAAGGCGGTGTTTGTTAATAAGGAACAGTGATAAACCCTTCTTCGCAGGGGAAGGGGGGCAGATGGAAGACAAAACACCCTAGACCACCAACGCCCTAAAAGGCTGATGGGATTCGCAGCAGGTCGAGCGTGCAGCAGCATGGTAGCTTCACATGGTGAACGCACGACAGGGGCAGAGCAATGTCTTTGTGGCCCCAGCCCGAGCCAGGGCTTTCACCAACAGTCACAGACGGTCTCGAAGGGCTTGAGAGCTGAACTGAACTGAACTCCTCCTCGTCCTCCTCCTCCCTTTCACCTCCATCTTCTTACCATCCTTCTCCTCCTCCTCCCCCTCCTCCTCCTCATCCTCTCCCATGGGTCCTGGCGCTCCTCGTCCTCCTCCCTCTCGGGCAGGTAAAGAACTTCCACTGGACGGCCTCTCGCATACGCGCTTGGCCTGCTGCTTCTACTCGGCGCTTGCCTGCGCCACAGTGTATGTCCTGTGGCTTCTGCGCGTCACTGTGCAGGGTTATCGCCACCTGTTCCGGAAGCTGGCACGGAGGAAGCCTTTCAAAGGTGCAGCTTTGATAAGAATGCATGGCCTCGGCGTGTTTCAGGCAGAGTGGTCTACGTATTCTTCGGGGGCTCTGATTGGTAACGCTTTGCTGGCCGTTGTGTCCATCACGGCGCTGCTCACGAATATATTTCTATTGTTGAGCTTGGAGAGTTTCTGGAGCTTTGTTTTCTCCTTCTGGAGTTATCAACTAGGCTTCACCACTGCCGACGACCCCACCCTCCCTTCGGTTTGGGGGGCAATCGGGCTGAAAACATTGAAGGGTCGTCTGCTATTGGAGCTTTGCTGGTGCAACCTTGAGGCTCCCCGGCCACAGGAGCAATATTGGAGCTTGGTGTGCTATCTTGGGCCTTCTTGGGGACTTTGATGCTAGGGGGCTACCGTGGGTGTTTCTTGGGCGACGGTGGACCGGCGCTTTGGTCTCTGGTGAAATCTTGTAGCCTCTTGGGAGCGTGCTGGGACACTTTCGGGCCATCTTCGGCGATCTGGGTCAACGCAAAGCACACGTGTAGCCTCTGTGCTGGGATACGGGCGCCAGCGCTCCCAAGCATGGGCTCGCGTGTGAGGGCGCGTGCTCATGCATGCATGTATCTACCGGTGTGTATGTACGTTTGCGTGTGCGCTTGCATGTGCGCGTGGAAGCATGTTGGTGAAGGGAGCACACCAAGTATAGATAGCTTCGCATGCCGAGCAGGGGCCGGTGGATTTGGTGTTATACGCTCTTCTGTATGTCACGCGGCGATTTATTTTCATGGTCTGCATTCCTAAGCACGTGGTGAAAGACGATGGAACTATTGTTCGATATGGGGTGTGGGCTTTGGTATTCCCAACGCTCACGATCTTGAATTTCGTTCTCGGTGCTACAAGCGGTGTTATTCGCTTGCTTGTCATGTATCCATACATGATCGTCCAGTTCTTCAGGGTCGACCGCACGTTCATGAGCGAGCGCTTCTGCGACTGGGATTGGTCGTTCCACCCGTTTATCAGCCTGGCGCTCCACTCGCACCAGCGGTTGAATCCTATCAGGGGAGTCGACGCGAGAGCATTTGCCCCACCTCCCAGCGCAGAGGGCCGGGGAGGGGAAGAAAGGGGAAGAAACGCGGAGGCGTTATGGGCCCAGCTGCGGGGGGTGAGGTGGAGGCAGACGCCATGGTCTGACTCCCCGGCATCATGGTCGCGGCCGTGCTCATGCTGAAGGACTGCGGCGAGGCCAGCGGGGGCAGCAACGGGTGCTTGCGCGTCGACAGCACCGCGTCCGCCCCTCAGTTGACACAGCCTCTGATCCAGGAGCCCGGAGTGCCCTTGGTGCAAGTGGTGTTCGCGGTTGGGAGTCTCACGAGTAGGACATGAGCAGAGCTTGAGTCCTGCTGAGACATACGGACAGACTCCACCACATTCACCAAGTGTATACGCTTTTGCACACGGGCACCTGAGCGTGCACGTCCGTGTAGGTTGTGTGCTCTCGCATGTGGCGAAGCCCGTCACAGGGCCAGCGCACCATCGATGTGCACGCACCACTGCTGTGCAAACCTCTCCCGAGCAGGCTCAGTGAAGCCATGTTGGATCGGAAGCCGGGCAAGGGCTGCTAAATCCGGGCTGCTATAATCGACCTCCGGGAAGTTGTCTCCGGGAAGAAGCCTGTTGATTGTTTCGCGTGCCGCGCCTCATTCTGGGAAGTTTTTTTTCTTTCGGGAGGGCCGTTTTAGCAGCCACGGTTTTAGCAGCCCTCGCCCAGGTTTCGATTGGAGTTCCCGGGAACGCATCGGTACGATGTCACCGGCGTGTTGCAGCCATGGCTGTCGCATTCCATCGTGGGTGTTTGCGGATGCGCACGCGGGGCTTGGGTGTTTGGAGCGTCGGGCGTTAAGGAGCCGTCAGATCGAGCCGTGGAGCTCTCTTGGGGGCGAGCTTGGGCCGTCGGGGGGAATGCTCTGGGCAGTCTTGGGCAACAGGATTTGACGCCCAATGGGGGCTTCATCGTGGTTCTCGGGAGCCTTCCTGAGGCCGTCTGAAGCCGAAACGTCTCGGAGGTGGCACCTGTTCACAGACCATGTGTTCCTCACGTCCAAAGCGGGGTTTGCTGGACCTATGGTGCTCCATGGACCTCCAGCTCGCTTCTGAGGGCTGGGTGTTGTTTGACCTCTGGTGCTCCATGGACCTCCAGCTCGACTCCGAGGCCCCCCACACGCACCCGCCCAGGGGTTCGAATCCGAGCGGCTACGCCGATGCAGGCTGTTGAGCCGGGGCGGTGGGTCTCCCCGCTCTCCGTGGACCTCCGGCTTTCCCTCAGAGCCCCCCGCGGGCCCCGCCCTGTCCAGACCCTGGCCGTCCTGGTTCTGTCCCAGCCATCCGGTGGTGTTGGGTCCTCGTTTTGACGAGAAAGCAAGCGCCCCGCGTCCTTGCTCCTTCCTCCTCCTCCTCCCCTTCTTCCCTCCTTCCTCTCCTCCTCCCCCTTCTTCTCCCTCATCCTCATCCTCCACCTCCTCCTCCCCCTCTACCACCTCCTCCTTCTTCTTCCTCCTCCTCCCTCCTCCTCCCCCTCCTCCTCTTCCTCCCTCTCCTCCTCCCCCTCCTTCCTCCCTCTTCCTCCTCCCTCCTCCCTCCTCCGATCCCTGCTTCTGCCCTGCATGTGCCTTCATCTCATCACCATCATGCGTACCCGCACCCGATTCGGCACACCACACGGGTCGTGGCCCCATAGGGAGCTCTATCGAAGGCCTCAGCGGCAGGGTCCGCATGGCGCACTCGCACCTGATTCGGCACACTTCTTCCACGAGTCGTGGCCCCATAGGCAGCTCCACCGAAGGCCCCAGCGGCAGGGTCCGCATGGCGTACCCGCACCCGATTCGGCGCCCCCTTCACACGTTCCGTGACCCCGACGGGAAATAAACCGAAGGCCCCAGCGGCAGGGTCTGCATGGCGTACGTACCCAACGCCGAATCGGCGCCCCCTCACACATTTCGTGGCCCCGTAGGGAGCTCCACCGAAAGCCCCAGCGGCAGGGTCTGCATGGCGCACCCGCACCTGCTCCGATGCATTCCTCACACGTTTTGTGGTCCCAAAGCGAGTTCTACCGAAGGCCCCAGCGGCAGGGTCTGCATGGCGTACCCGCACCCGATTCGGCACAACTCGTCCAGGAGCTGTGGCCCCATAGGAAGTTCCACGGAAGGGCCCAACGGCAGGGTCCGCATGGCGCACCCGCACCCGATCGGGCACACCGCTCACGCGTATCGTGGTCCCACGGGAAGCTCCACCGAAGGCCCCAGCGGCAGGGTTCGCATGGCGCATTTGCGCCCGATCCGGCGCAACTCTCACACGCTTCGCGGTCCCAAATGGAGTTCACCCGAATGCTTCAGCAGCAAGTTCTGCACAGCGTACTTGCGCCCGATTCTGCACCCCACTTCACACGTTTCGTGGCCCCGCAGGGAGCTCCACCGACACCGAAGGCCTTAGCGGCAGGGTCCGCATGGCGTACCTTCAACCGACACGATACACCCCACACAAGCTTCGTGGCCCCATAGGGAGCCGCATTGACACTTGCAGCGGCGGAGCCCGCATGGCGTACCTGCACCCGATTCGGTATACCCATCACACGATGTATGGCCCCGTAGCGGGCTCCACCGAAGGCCCCAGCGGCAGAGTCCGCATGGTGCACCTGCATTTAATTCGGCACACCCCGCGAACTCCCCATGACGCGCGCTGGTCGCCCAGAAGGAGTTTTAGCGACGCGCGCGGGGTCTCCGCAGCGCGGGGTCAGGCATCGGGTGGCAGAGAAGGGGCGTGGCGCCAGGCGCCAGGCAGAACGCGCGGGTGTCGGATAGTACTTGGAGGCAGAGCGCAGTGGAGGGTTCGCGACGCGCGCTGCGTGCCCCGAGGGCATTCCAGCGACGCGCGCGGGCCGTCCGCGGCGCGAGGCCATACATTTGGACAGCCGAGAGACGGCGAGACTCGACAGGCCTCGCGGATGAGACGTTTCCCCCTGTGTGCCAGTACCCCCCGATCCTTGCCATTTAAACGCCGATCCAGCTTCATGCCCAAATTGCACCACGCCCTGCTAGCTGGACCCCCCCCTCGGGCCAATTTGGAACGACGACGACGACGACGAGGTTTGCGACGACGACGGCGACTAAGCATCCGAGGCGGGGATTTGTCCATGGCCGCCGCTTTGGTAATCGAGCTCTGGGGGCCTCGGAAGGCGGCGGATGTGGTGTGGATATCTTCGGGCTCTGGGGTGGGGCCAAGTGCATAAGAGCCCATGCCAAGACACACCCTGCCTGCCTCCAGGGTGCCCTGGGTTTCTTGGGTTTCGATGGTGCTGCTCTGGAAGGCGTGACGCTCCCACACCGAAGAAATCAAGGGGCGTTTTGGGGTCTCGGGGTTGGGCTTCTTGTGGAAGGTTCCTTGTGTTCGAGGCCGTACTGTATGATAGGGGAACAACAATGACATAAACGTCAAAATTCGGAGGTCCGCTCGGATTTCTCGGATCGGCGCTGGGGCCCCCCGGCGGCGCCTCTGGCGCCGCCCCTGGCGCGCGGAGCGCGCCAGGGAGGGAGGTCCAGCGCAGATCCACGAAAGCAGCGCGGACCTCCGAGTTGGCATGCTCGTGCCACCTTTCGCTTCCTTTTTATCTCCCTGTATCGATCACCGCCGCTTGCCGAAGCCCCCGAGGCTCGACCCCCTCGGTGGTGGAAGACCCCCCGACCCGGCAAGAGCGCTTGGGGGGCTCCACGCCGCAGGAGGCCGCCAGGCTGCCGCAGGGCGCCCCGCGGGCCCTGCAGCTGCGGCGCCGCGTCCGCGCCCTCGTCCGCCGGCTCCCGCGAGCGGCAGACAAGTCCGTACCCGCGCCTCGCGGTCTGGGTTCCCAGGGTCGCAGGCGATTTTGTCTCTCCCCCTTGTCCCCGAGCTCCGCCCGAAAAGTGTGGCCGTTCAGACACGGGGGTGGAGCTCTGGGATACACCCCCGGGGGGGTTGGTCGGACGCACCCCTATCGGGGATGGACGCCCCCCCAGTGTATATGCCAGGGTTGGGCCCAAATTTTTTGGTCCAGTCGAAAATCCTTCAAAGTCGGGGGTTGGGGTCGCCATATCCCCCGTTACAGGGCGCGATCCTGCGGATGGGCGGTCGGACGGATAATTACGTTCCGCGCGGGGCATCCGCGAAGAATTGGCTTGCCGATGGGCCCAACGACACGCAGCTGCGAGCATCGCGAGGCAGGTGGGATGGAGGAGGTGTGCCAGCACGAGGGTTGCGGAATTCATGGGAAAGGAACAGCAGGCACGGGCTCGCGGGGGGGTGTTTTGCTTGGCCCGGACCCCGAGCGCAGCCGTTGTCCTGCCCGTTTCTTTCCCAGCTCGTTCTCCTCCCCTGTTTCCGTTGTGCGCTGCGTCCCTGCCCGCCCGGCGCAGCGAAGCGTGTGAGGGGGTTGCCGAATCGGGTGCGGGCTGGCCATGCGGGCCCTACCGCTGGGGCCTTCGGTGGGGCTCCCTGTGGGGCCACGAAGCGTGTGAGGGGTGTGCTGGATCCTGTGCGGGTGCGCCATGGGGGGCACGAAGCGTGTCAGGGGTGTGCCGACTCGAGTGCAAGTACGCATGCAGACCCTGACGGTGGGGCCCTGGGTGGAGCTCCCTATGGGGCCACGATGCGTGTGAGAGGTGTGCCGAATCGGGTGGAGGTACACCATGCGGACCCTGCCGCTGGGGCCTTCGCTGGAACTTCCTATAGGGCCACGAGACGTGTGAGGGGTGTGGCGACTCGGGCGCAAGTACGCC